ACAGGCCCTGGTGTATGATGTTCCCCTCCTGTGTCCATGTATTCTCATTGTTCAACTCCTACTTATAAGTGAGAATATGTGGCATTTAGTTTTCTGTTCTTTTGTTAGTTTGCTAAGAATGATGGTTTCCAACTTCATCCATGTCCCTCCAAAGGACATGAACTCATCCTTTTTTATAGCTGCATAGTATTCCGTGGTGCATGTATGCCACATTTTTTTTTATCCAGTCTATCACTGATGGGCATTTGGGTTGGTTCCAAGTCCTTGCTATTTTGAACAGCACTGTAATAAGCATGTCTCTTTATAGTAGAATGATTTATAATCCTTTGGGTATACATCAACTATGGGATTGCTGGGTCAAATAGTATTTCTGGTTCTACATCCTTGAGGAATTGCCACACTATCTTCCACAATGGTTGAATTGATTACACTTCCACCAACTGTGTAAAAGCGTTTCTGTTTCTCCACATCCTCTTCAGCATCTGTTGTTTCCTGACTTTTTAATGATCGCCATTTGAACTGGAGTGAGATGGTATCTCATTGTGGTTTTGATTTGCATTTCTCTAATGATTGGTGAGGATGAGCTTTTTTTCATATCTTTGCTGTCTGCATAAATGTCTTCCCTGTTTAATAAATGGTGTTGAGAAAACTGGTTAGCCATATGCAGAAAACTGAAACTGGACCCCTTCCTTACAACTTATACAAAAATTAACTCAAGATGGATTAAAGACTTAAATGTAAGACATAAAACTGTAAAAATCCTAGAAGAAAACCTAGGCAGTACCGTTCAGGACATAGGAATGGGCAAAGAGTTCATGACTAAAAAAGCAAAGGCAATGGCAATAAAAGCCAAAACTGATAAATGGGACCTAATTAAACTAAAGAGTTTCTGCACAGCAAAAGAAACTATCATCAGATTGAACAGGCAACCTATAGAATGGGAGAAAATGTTTGCAGTCTATCCATCTGATAAAGGGCTAATACCCAGAATCTACAAAGAACTTAAACAAATTTATAAGAAAAAAACAAAAAGTCCCATAAAACTGGGTGAAGGATATGAACAGACACTTCTTAAAAGAAGACATTTATTAATAGTTTTTTTTTTGTTTGTTTTGTCTTTTTTGTTTGTTTGGTTTTTTTGAGACAGAGTTTCACTCTTGTTACCCAGGCTGGAGTGCAATGGTGCGATCTTGGCTCACTGCAACCTCCACCTCCTGGGTTCAGGCAATTCTCCTGCCTCAGCCTCCCAAAGTGCTGGGATTCCAGGCTTGAGCCACTGCGCCCAGCCTATTAATAGTTTTTATAATCACATATTAAAATAGTATTTTAGCTGTATTAGGTTAAATAAAAATATTATTAAAATAAATTTCCCTTGTTTCTTTTTATTTACAGAGTTTTGCTATTGTTGCCCACGCTAGAGTGCAGTGGGGTGATCTGGGCTCACTGCAAGCTCCACCTCCTGGCTTCTAGTGATTCTCCTGCTTCAGCCTCCCTAGTAGCTGGGATTACAGGCACCCACCACCATGCCTAGCTTACTTTTTGTATTTTTAGTAGAGACAGGGTTTCACTATGTTGGCCAGGCTGGTCTCAAACTTCTGACCTCAGGCAATCCACCTGCCTCAGCCTCCCAACGGGCTGGGATTACATGCGTGAGCCACCGCACCTGGCTTTTTTTTACTTTTTTAATGTAAATTTTTAAATTTTTAAATTACATGTGTGGCTGTGTGTGTGATTTATATTATATTTCTGTTTGATGGTGTTTGCTATGTAATAAAGTAGTTAAGAACAAAAGATATGTGGCCTGGATTTGATTCTTGCCTATACCACTCACTAGCAATGTAATCTTGGGCTACTTTTTTTTTTTTTTTTTGAGATGGAGTTTCGCTGTTGTTACCCAGACTGGAGTGCAATGGCGTGATCTCAGCTTACCACAACCTCTGCCTTCTGGGTTCAGGCAATTTTCCTGCCTCAGCCTCCTGAGTAGCTGGAACTACAGGCTCGCACCACCATGTCCAGCTAATTTTTGTATTTTTAGTAGAGACAGGGTTTCGCCTTGTTGACCAGGATGGTCTCGATTTCTTGACCTCGTGATCCACCCGCCTCGGCCTCGCAAAGTACTGGGTTTATAGGCTTGAGCTACCTCGCCCGGCCTTGGGCTAATTTTTTGAACTTCTTGTTTTAATTATCTCTTCTGTAAAATGAGAATATAATCATATCCTTTTCAAAGATATGTTGTGAAGGGAAAAATAAAAGACGTAAAGCAGTCAACACAATGGATAACTTTAAGTGTTGATTAAAATTTAGCCATTATCGGGCCGGGCGCGGTGGCTCACGCCTATAATCCCAGCACTTTGGGAGGCCGAGGCGGGTGGATCAGGAGGTCAAGAGATTAAGACCATCCTGGTCAACATGGTGAAACCCCGTCTATACTAAAAATACAAAAAATTAGCTGGGCATGGTGGCGCGTACGTGTAATGCCAGCTACTCAGGATGCTGAGGCAGGAGAATTGCCTGAACCCCTGAGGCGGAGGTTGCGGTGAGCCGAGATCGCGCCATTGCACTCCAGACTGGGTAACAAGAGCGAAACTCCGTCTCAAAAAAAAAAGCCTTTATCTATGTTTTTGTTATTGTTGCTATTATTATAGTATCAGATTTTATACTTCAGTGCGCTTTTTCTTTCTCTCCCTCAAAACTCTATTACCCTATTACACATAGTAATAGAGTTCTTAGCTGGATACTGTAATCTGACTGGGGACAGGCATATATACAAATTGTATACGAGAGGAAGATGTCACAAACAAATGCTCATTAGGTTTGGCTGTAGAAAATTTTTAATGCTTCTCCAAGATAATATTCACTAAAATATTTCTGTAGACTGTGTGGCAACTATATAACCAAGCTTTATAATTGTGGTCCAGAAAATAATCACACAGCCAGGAAGTGATGGTGTGTTATAAACAGTTTTGTTCTGGGATTTGAGGCCTGGGCTGTCGTCCTAATTTTGCCACTGTGTTTGTCTAGACTCCAGTTTCCTTATTATAAAATTATGAGGTTAGATTAGATGCTCACCTAGGCCCCCTTTAAGGTTATATAATTTTAACGTATTAATACCTACATTTTCACATATTTTGAATCTACAGTTTAATTATCCTTAGGTTTTTCAGCTCATATTAGAATGCTAAGAGACTGAAGATAAGGTTATAGGTACAGAGTCATGGTAAGATAGAGGGACAATTTTTCACCCCCAAAAATCTTAAAAAATGCTTTAGGTTGTAACTAAATTAGTTTTTTTTTCTAGAATTGACTTTAATTTTACTACAGTAAAATGGAAATTTAGATTGTATTATATTAGGATAATATGTAGATAGGCATTATGATTGTAGTTTAGTTGGAAGATTTCTGGCCATATAGGAGTACCTGGGTTTTAACCCCAGTTTTGCCACTAGGTAACTAAATCCTAAACAGATTTTTTTGTTTTGCATTTTCCATATGTAATAATTTGGACTGTAATAATGTAACATCTCACTTAGAGTATACCTTTGAGAAATTAAAGAAATTAATGCTTATTGGTCTGTCTACCGTATAGGATTTACATTAACATTTGTGAAAATACTTTAGGGAAAATAATTTAAAATACATTAATAGACATATAACTTTTTTGAAACATCTTACTTTGATTATTCTTGCAAAATTGTTCTATTTAATCTTCAAGGGATAGTTTCTGGGTTTTCAAAGTATAGACCATTGAGAAAGAGAAAGCTCCCCAGTGTATTTTATGAAGCTAGCACAACCTTAAGCCTGTTAAAGTGAGTTTAAACCTAGTAAAGATAGTAGAAGTACACAGACTGTTTATGTGCACATACGTACACACACACACACACACACACACACACGTGCTAAAGTTCCAAATAAAATACTAGCAAATGAATTCAGCATTGTATTTAAAAAGTATATATATTGACTAGAAAGGATTTATCCCAGGAATGTAAAGATGACTCTACACCACAAAATCTGTACATAATTCATTATAATAACATATCAGAGGAAAATTTATGACTAAGCCAGTAGGTACCTCTTCAGAAGAAGGAAAATCATTTGATAAAAATATGAACAACTTCATTCATAGAGAAGTGCAGAGTAAAGAACAGTGGGATAACATGCAGGACTGGCATCATGTGGAGAAATAGGCATTCATACTTTGGTACTAGTATGAATTGAACCTTTTTGGGAAAAAAAAACAACAATAGCTTCTGAAATAAAAATGCACATTATCATTTGAATATTCCAGTTTCTGGGAGTCTTTCCTACAAAAAATAACATGTTTATATTAGTATGTACTATAATGTTAATATATACTAATATAGTAAATTAGGACTTATTGCAAGGATATTTGTTTCATAGTTTGTAATAACTAAAAATTAGAAACAATGTGAATGACTGTTGATCACCAAAGGAATGATTAAATAAATTATTCCACACTTACACCATGGAATATAGTGCAACCATTGAGCAGGAGGGATATCCATGATAATACTGTTAAGTTGGGTATGGAATGACAAATTATAGATTACTGTGTATAATGTAATCCATTTTTTAAATAAAAAGTCTCCCTTTTTATATGTTAAATGTGTGAATGAGCCATGAGAAATGTGTGGGAGGATTGGGTTAAGAGAGCGGGTGGGATAAGTAAAGTGAGAAAATCATTTTTATTTCATATATTTCTGCATTGTTTGATTTATTGTGAAGAGGATTTATCTTTGTAATAATCACATTTAATGAAGGAAAAAATGCTAAATAAATTCAAAGTATGAGGATGTGGGTTCCAAAATTGCCAGATTTGGCCAGCCAGAGACATGGAAAATGTAAAAGTATTATGCTACACCTTCTATTGTGGAGGCATTTGTAATAATTTCCATCTGCAACTATTATATCATTACTTCTGAAAAGAAAGATATTTTATACTAAGACATGGTGGCATTAATGCTTTTTTTCTTTTATAGCAACTCCGATCCAATATCCGAGAAATTGAGAAACTTTGTTTGAAAGTCCGAAAGGATGACCTAGTACTTCTGAAGAGAATGATAGATCCTGTTAAAGAAGAAGCAGCAGCAGCAACAGCAGAATTTCTTCAACTCCATTTGGAATCTGTGAAAGAACTTAAGAAGCAATTTAATGATGAAGAAACTTTGATACAGCCTCCTTTGACCAGATCCATGACTGTTGGTGGTAACGTATTGTACTAAGTCTTCTTCTCAATTACAGTAATGCAGTTAATTAAAGCTCACCTCCTTGAGTAGATACTGAATTATCTATAGGTCTTCATGGATCATTCACTGTCCCAATATGCTGACTCCTTGAACCCTGATCAGTGTGCCTGGAAATGTGTACCCTGGATATTTTGCAGAATAAAAAATCTGAGGCTATGCTTATGGAGTGGGACTTCAGGGCAAATTCCCATTTGTCTATTTATTGAAGAGAAATTTAAATATATTTCCTAAGCATAATGTCATTCATGTCTGCAGAGTATTCTTTACTCCTTTCCAGGTACAGGGGTGACCTCTTCAGGCATACACATTTTTTCATAAGCATTCTGGTTTTCAGAGGGGATGTTAGATCTGTTTTTTAACCATGTTCTCTGAATAACTGACAACATTAAGAAATCTACAATGGGAGTCAAGCCATCATCCTCTGTGAAGTGATACTCTAAGGAACAGCTCTGTGAAATTTGTCATTACATCTCTTCTAAGGATGTAATTGATAATTGCCAATCATAGGATAATAACGTCTTTAACTCTGAAAATATTCTTGGCTTAATACATAGTAGTTCTTCAAAGTAGTTGATCTTTTTTTATCTTTTGGATATTGAATGGAAAAACTGATAAGGTTTTCCTACTTAAATTGTTTACTAGAAAGCTTACAGCCAAAATTTTTAGCCACAAAAGTCAAATATTTAAACCTATCCTAGCTTTGTTTTATAACTACTGCCCTTGTTTTCTTTTTTGTTCTATTTGTAATTTGTCTCATTTTCTTATATTTTATAAATTATTCTAAGCTACCTTTAATCCTATGGAAAAGATGAAGTATAAATAAGTAAATTACAAATTAGAATAGAATCTTAGAGATGTTACACCTGCCCATTTTTTCTCTTTTTATTTACTCAGAGCACTCCTGTACGACTCACTATCTCCAAAGCCATATTATTTTTAATTTTATATTTTTTATTTCCATGCTAATTTATCTCTCTATAACATTTATATATATTTATAAATGACATCTATATAAATGACATTTATTTCTCAGTCATTTATAGAGAGATAAAAACTGTTGGAAGAAACATTTAGGCCACTGTTCAGAGTTTCTGGGTAATCTTGCTTTTGTTGCAGCCTTAGTACCTAGCACAATGCCTGACACATGGTGGACCATTCATAAATGTTTTATAAACATAAATAAAAAATATCTTCTTAGAGACAATTTTATAATTTCACATGTGCTATAATCACCTCACTCTGTGGATAATAAGTACCCTAAATGTTTTTGAGAGAAGGAGATGCTAGCACTCAATCCTTGGTTGAAGAGTATTTGGAAAGAATGCTTTTTGATAGTTTGTAGTTACCATTTCATTATTCTGTTCACCCGTAGTTATTGTTGCCATATTGGTGAGGTTGAAGGCTGTTATTATCGCTTAGTGCAAACTGATGCTTTATGTGCACATGTAGAGAAACTGGGCTTTATAGTTCTGTGTGATTAAGGTCCCATCTTATGTACTCAGACATTGTAATAGTTGTGATGGTAGTAATAACTGTGAAGATAAGCTGGATTTTCTGGAAAGAGTAACTAGAATCAGTCTCTTTGCTGCATAGCTTTCAATTAAATATCTCTAGCAAATCTATTCAAACAAAAATTTTAAGTTCTATCTGAGCGTTTTCTCACAATATGATAATACTTGCTTTAATTTGCATTTTATTATGCATTATATGTGTTTCTACCAGTAGAACCGTTTGGGATCAACAACTTTGGGCTTATATATCATCAGAGGAATTGCGTGATTATTATCATTAATAGAAGAAGGCAGCTTACCCAGTTTACTGGCAATTAACTTTCTCTATAAGAAGCTGATTGGTGTAAAAAAAAAAAAAAAAAGAGTTGGGCAGGTTTTGAAGAAGTGTGTGCATAAAGGAAATGAAAACATTGGAGCAGAGCCAGAGAATGAGGGAGAAGAAATAGCAGTGAAATTGACTTCCCACTTCTCATGATTCTCAACCTTCTGAATTCACCAAATAGGCTACTAAAGGCCTAATTACTAGGAGAAAACTACAAAATTAAATCTCTGTAACTAGTATTGATTTGGTTGAGATAGTCATTCTATTAATAAAATCAATACCTAGGTTATACCTAAAACAGTGTATAGAATTTCAAATTCTGAATAGTCTGCTTATCATATGGTACTTTCACTATGAATCCATTGCGAACATAAAGCAATTTAAAAACTACTGTCTCACGAAGTGCCCGAGTATTTCACCAAATGTGAGAAACATTTCTACTATATTGCGTCAAATCCAGAAATATTATTAATAAATAATCAAGACGATGGGAAAGGAAATGAATAATTAAATGAAAGCAAGTAGCTAATTTACATAACACTTTAATAGTGGGGTAGGAATTGAGTTTGCTCCACATTTGGTCTTATTCTAGCTACAGACTGTTTTTGTTATTCTACATGTTTTTATTCTGTGCTCTCCAGTTTTTCCTTATCTTTGCTTTAGATACTCATTATAGTAGCAACAGACTATATGGAAAATCTGTTTTATTTCATAGAAGTTAAATGCATTAAGATACTTTTTACTTTACAAATTCAATCTGATTCAAATAAATTGGTTGGAAACATCAGCAGAGATTCAGGAGCAATGTTGCCACGTTTCCATGAGTAAGATCAAAAATAAAAAATAGTTTTTCATTTACAGATAGAAATAACAAGTAGAATAGGACATTTTATATTCTCTGGAGAATGAAAGAAGTGTATTAAGTTTTGGAAGAAGCTGTGATGATTTTGCTGTGTCTTTTGTCCATATTCTGAGAGTTCCTAAAGCAAATCTTCTCTGCAAGTCTTCTTGATCTGAGAAACTTCCTTCTGTCTCACTTGTGTGTCTGGTTTCATTTTTAGCATATTGCTTCCCACCAAGAGAAGTGAGGAGCCTACAAATCTGATTTGTATTTAGAAAGGTGATTCAAGTCGTTGAGTGAATCAATGGTTCTCTCCATTTTTGTCTTTCTTTACTCTCAGGACACACACTTCAGCAGTGCAAAAGGAACAGAATCATATTACATTTTAAACAAATATTCACAAAAGAAAAGAATCTAATCTTAAAGCTGCTGGGAACTTCAGACCAGCATATTGAATTTGATGAAATTTAGATTTTTATCACAGGTATATACATGCACTGAACAGTTTTGTGAAACATGTAAATGGTTTATATTATGTGATTCAAAAGATGTATTTTCTATTGGTTTTAACTTTTTTAAAGTCTTCATTTGCAGCTAAGTTAAGCCATGCTTAGAAGTAATTTTATTTGATAGATAGGCTTATGTAGATGATCAATAAATTAATTTCACTATTTTTAAACTATCAGAACTGGAAAACATTTCAGGAAAGCTTTTGAATTAATTTAGATTTATAATATAACTTTTCCTTATGTGGTGAAGTTTAGTGGAAATTTTTTATATATTATAATTCTTGGTAAAATGATTACTGTTCATGAAGTATGGAGAAAGAGGTAGAGAATATTTGGATATATGTAAAAGGGAAAAGTCTTATGTTATTTAGTTTATTTCTCACTTTGATGAAAGTGAGCCAGTTTTCTTAATGTTTGAGTTTACAGCCAACAATAAGGTTTTATAACCAGTTCTGGGTTTTAGAAAACAGTCATTAGTGATAGGCACTATGTTCTACTTGCCTTTATGTTTTCAGTTTGTGTGTGGGTTGGGAGTACCTGAGATGATTATGTTATATAAAACAGTTAACATTTTTTTGCTTCTGTGGACAAAGCTAAAGTTCTTCAGCCTTCTTTCCTGAAACTATAATCTATCTCAGTGTTTTGCCTTACCATGATTTGTAAAAGTTCAAAGTCAAAAGATCATGATTGAGGCAGTGATTTTAAATGCAAGCTGGAATAAATGAATTATGCAAGTTGTAGAAATTAAAAGGTTTGCTTTAATTGATTGTCATGTCTTGAACTGATTAGTGGGGTTTAGAATTTTAAGTTTACAGCAGGGTTTTTTAAATGGAAGACAACAGCCCTCTTTGTTCTAAGACTCTGTTTGAACTAAGATGCATACGTAGTTTGGTTTCAAGTTAGACGTAAATGACTTAAACATTTTTATTCTTTACTGAGGGAAATCTTTTATGTTTATTTAAAATGTCAAACATTTCCCATCCCTTATTTTTTTAGATTAAGTATGAATATATGATAACTTCTCCTCATTTTGTTGTGTACCCTCAAATACTTCATTTGAATCCTCTTTAATAGTACATAAATTATGGCTTTAAAAAAACCTTTAGAATGGGCATGATTATAAAGTTCCCCTTTATATTTGATTTGTTAATAATAATGAAGTTTTCATTATTCATTATAATGTATAAATACCTGGAAATATTAAATTGAAGAAAGGTAATAGAGTAATTCATTTATCTTGGTTGAAGTGAAAATGAGAGTGTCTTTATGGTGATAATGTATTGAGTAAATAACTAGTTCAAGCATTTGTAAAAAAAACATATAGAGCTTTCAAAATATTACCTATTTGCCATAACGTCTTAATGTAAAACTTACTCTATATCGGCTGCCTTTGCTCTTCCTTTAAGTTAAATAAATATATTCAGATAAGATTCAAAACATTGTCAGTCCTGATAAATCTACAAATTACTTTTTAGTCTACTGACTATGGCCTTCCTAAACAATTTAAACATTTTTTCCTGGAGAGATAAAGCATTAATAAGCTTTAAAGGTAAAATACTAACGCAGTTTTATAAAATACTGTTTCAATTATAGGTTTGGCTGAAAAGAACATTGAGAGAATAGGGACTTCGAGTTATAATTGCTTACTTTTAGGAGTAGATCAGGTGCCACATGTCATCATGGCATTTTTCTGCTTATAACTCTCCAACAGCTCTCCTTGGTGTGCCGATGAAGTCCAAAGTCTTTAACTGGTCTACAAGGCCCGTCCTGACCATCCATAGGCTTATACTTGTAATTTGTCTTTTACTTCTTGCTTTGTTACCATCAAACTGCTGATTTACATAGCTATATGGTTTCTTCCTTGAGGGCCTTTGTTCTTACTGGTTTTTATATCTAGAATGTATATTCTTCTTTTCGTTGCCTAGTAACCTCAAGTTTTTTAGAAAGGCTTCCCATAAACTACATACCATATCAAACTGGATCAGATGCCACCCATAGCTCTGAACTCTCATAAAATACTTATGTATCTATGTCTGATTCTAGATAGATACCAATGCAGTCTCCTATTGTTTTATGATTTTTTTTTGTATGTCTGGCTCTTCTAGAATATAAGTTTCTTGAGAATATATACTCTGTGTTAATTACTTTTTATCCCTGGTACCCTAAAACAATACTCAGTGGGTACTCAGAAAATCTAAGTGGTGTTTTGAACTTGAAGTGAAGGGGAGATAGTAACCTTCAGATCTCTTGTTTCCATTTCTACTGTCAATATCTTAGATCACCATCACTTTACACTGGATGTATTAGAAAGCCTTCAGACTGGTTTTTTACTCTCTAATTTTGTCACCTTTCAACTCCATCCTTAATGTGTTTTTGCACTGTGGCCATAGTTTCCTCTGTAAATGTAAAATCTGATTATGGCACCTTCTGTCTCCATCTATTTTTAATAATAATGTATTGATCTTTTGTGAAAAACAAAACTGTTTAACATAGTTTACAAATGCCATGAATAATCTCAAAGTAGATTTCCAGCCTTAGTTTTTGCTTTTCTCCTTATCATAGTCAGCTATACTAAACATTTCTCAGTCCCTAAGCTTATACACATACTGCTCTCTCTGAACTGAATACTCTTTGCTTATCCTTCCACCCCTGCTGCAGTTCACCTATATAGTAATTTCAGTTCATCCTCAGGCTTCAGCTTCAGAGCCTTCTCTGACCACTCTCCCCTCCAGCCTAGGTTAAATACCTCTCATCTGTACCCACCTAGCACTTTGTACTTACCAATATTACAGTTCTTATTAGACTATACTGACTGAACTTGATTATTAATATGTCTCTATCACACATTTTATGGTAAGATCTGTTAATAGTAGCAGCAGTAGTAACTAATTTATTGAGCACTTATACTTTGTGTATAACCCAGGTACTGTGCAAAGTAAATATCACCTTATTTTACAAATGACAAAAACCAGCTGAAGAGATGAAATACCTTCCCAAGGCAAACAGCTAATGAATAGCCAAATCAGAATTCTGACTCAAGTCTTTCTGACTAGGCCTAGGCTCCTAACCACTGTACTATGTTGCCTTCTCCAAACTTTTTATGGTTTGCCATTGTGTCTGCAGCACCTCACCACACTGATGGGCATGTAGTAAGCACTTAATAAATGTCAACTCAGTTAATGAATGATTGGTAAAACCAATATGAGGAAATAAAGACTTGAAGGTATATTTTAAAGTGTGAATTAATTTATTATCATAGCAGTGTTTAATGGGGAAAGAACTAGTAGGTTGATCCCTTTTTAAAACTCAAAAGAAGTAGAAGCAATGGTGGCATGGGCCAAAAGATTGACTCTGAGGAGAAGAGTAGTGACAAAAAGGACACATATGGTAAGAATATTTGGTGACAGTCTTATTGTTACCAATAGTGACTGATTTCCTTAATAAAAACACATTACTTTCTGGTTTTAAACACCTTCTGTATCTGTTATTTACTACTGAAATAGCCAAATAGAAGTTTAAGGATGAAAAGTATTAAACCTATTTATATAGGTATGTCTCCTTGGAACATTGGCCAAGTAGAATAGTTTTCCTTTGGTGCTGCTTCTACATCTGCCCTAGTTATTAAGATTGGATAGATGTTATTCATAGCCATACTTTAGATGACTGTATAAATTTAAAAAATGTATATGTGGGGCCAGGCGCAGTGGCTTATGCCTATAATCCCAGCACTTTGGGGGGCCAAGGCAGGCAGATCACGAGGTCAGAAGATTGAGACCACCCTGGCTAACATGGTAAAACCGTGTCTCTACTAAAGATACAAAAAATTAGCTCGGTGTCTTGGCGTGTGCCTCTAGTCCCAGCTACTCAGGAGGCTGAGGCAGGAGAATCGCTTGAACCTGGGAGGCAGAGGTTGCAGTGAGCCAAGATCACACCACTGCACTCCAGCCTGGGCGACAGAGCAAGACTCTGTCTCAAAAAATATGTGTACAGTGTGTGTAAGCTTGGTGTTGTGGCATACGCCTGTCATCCCAGCACTTTGGTAAGCTGAGACAGGAGGATCACTTGAGGCCAAGACCAGCTTGGGCAACATAGCAAGACTGTGTTTCAATTAAAAAAAAAAAAATTCTTTTTAAGAAAAAAAAAAAATGTGTTAACCCTAGGAGCAAGATGCCCCATGGATAAATCTTTTTCTTTTTTTTTTTTTTTTGAGACAGGATCTTGCTCTGTCACCTAGGCTGGAGTGTAGTGGCATGATCACCACTTACTGCAACCTCGACCTTCCAGGCTCAAGTGATCCCCCCATCTCAGCCTCCCAAGTAGCTGGGACTATAGGCGTGTGCCACTACACCTGGCTAATTTTTTAATTTCTTTGTAGAGATAAGGTCTCACTGTGTTGCCCAGTCTGGTCTTGAACTTCTGGGCTCAGGTGATCCTTCTGCCCCAACCTCCCAAAGTGCTGAGATTATAGGTGTGAGCCACTCCACTCAGCCAAACAATTCTATTTTTGTAGAATAATCAATTTCCTTTTAGCCTAAATTTAATTATGGCATTTTATGTGGCATTTGTTTTATGAAATCAATTTATGCTATCTCCTTTCTAACAAGGCAAATAAACTCTAAACATGGGGTTATTATGTTCATCCAGGAGCATTTCACACTACTGAAGCTGAAGCTAGTTCTCAGAGTTTGACTCAGATATATGCCTTACCTGAAATTCCTCAAGATCAAAATGCTGCAGAATCATGGGAAACCTTAGAAGCGGTATGTTAAAAAATATTTTCTTTTTGGTAGCTGTGAGGCATAAAAGTAACTTCCTCTCCCTTTCTTTTAAAGGACTTAATTGAACTTAGCCAACTGGTCACTGACTTCTCTCTCCTAGTGAATGTAAGTATATAACTGTTTGGATGCAGAATTGTTAGGTTATTAGAATGAGAAGCTTTTGTAGTTATTAGGCTTTTAATTAGAATTTTAATAGAACTTAAAATTTTTAAGACTGGTATTGAGCCATAGGTAGAAGTTTAACTGTTCTCAAATTCCAGATTAATTCAGTAAACATTTATTAGTCACTTGTTGTGTAAAGGCACTGTGTTAGATGCTTAACATTGAGGGTATATTCAGATTGAATGTAGAAATAAATGAAGCCCATTCTCTGCCTTTGAGGATTCTTTTTTGTTTGTTTGTTTTTAAGATGGAGTTTTTGAGACTCTGTTACCCAGGCTGGAGTGCAGTGGCATGATCTCGTCTAACTGCAACTTCCACCTCCCGGGTTCAAGCAATTCTTCTGCCTCAGTCTCCTGAGTAGCTGGGGCTACAGATGTGCACTACCATGGCTGGCTAATTTTTGCATTCTTAGTAGAGACAGGGTTTCACCATGTTGTTCAGGCTGGTCTCAAACTCCTGACCTCATGATCCCTCAGCCTCGGCCTCCCAAAATGCTGGGAATACAGGTGTTAGCCATCATGCCCCGCCGCCTTTGAGGATTCTAACAGTGAGTAGAAATAGGCCTGCACCCCAGAAACTGAGCTTTCAAGCATAATGACCAAATGCAAAAGCAAGAAGGAAGAGAAGTATTATTAGCTCCAAGGAAAAGCATTTAATTCCAAGGGAGAGAGGGAGGGGTCATGAGGTGGAAGCATTAAGTATAGCTTCACACAGGTAGACAGTATTTGTATGAGCCCTGAAAAATGAGTACATGTCCACAGGTGGGAGTTATGGGTATATTTGAGAAGCTGAACAAAGATATGGAGTAATGTATGGCCTGTTCCAGAATGACAAGTACTGCTGTATAACCAAAGTATAAGATACTATGGGCAAGATAGGAGGGTGAGGGCCAGATTGTGATGGCTTTGAATGCCATGCCAAAGAATTCGTACTTTACTTTGTAGGCATTAAGGAGCCTAATACGGATTCTTGAGCAGGTTAGAGTCGTGAAATATAGTCTGTGCTTCAGAAAGATCACTGTTGGCTTTGTTAATAATGGCCTAAGAGAGGAGGAGGTCATGGAAAAGATGACTGGCTAGGAAGCAATTCTAAGAGTTCACCTGGAGCAATGACAATACCAGTGTAAAGGTAAAGGACAGCCGGAAGATATTTCTGGGGGGACTTAGCAGAAATTGGTGGAAGATGGAGCCAAAGCTAAGGCATATCGCCTTTATTCTGCACAATTGGGTGTCATTGATACTGTTAACATAGATTAGGAAGCACAAAGTGGATTTGGTGGGAAAGACAGATTTTCCATCATTTTTCTAAACTGTTCCTATTTGTCTTTCCCAAGAGTTATGGGAAGGTAGGATGTATGAATACATGTGTGTATGTATATTTATCTATGTGTGTCCACACAGACATACCTGTTTCTGCTTGCAGTTCTGTCTAGGTTTAGTTCTTTGTTCTCCATTAAACCATGATTTTGGGGTCTTTCTTTGAGTTATGGTTTCCCTGAGATCTAGTTTTAAATGAGAAGTTCCTAGATCACACAATCACAATTGGAATGGGAAAAGCCTCAAGAGGCCAACTAATCTAATCTCTCTACTCTTGTCCCAACTTCTCAAATAAATGGTCTTCTAGCCTCTTTTGGAACAATTATAGCACAAGGATATTTGATACTTAAACCGTTATATTTGGAGTCTGTAACTCTTAGAAGAGTTAGGGTTAGAAGTGTCTACCCTATAATAACTTCTTTTTGGCATTTTTGGCCTCAAAACTACATACTGACCAAATTTTGTCTTATTTCCACGTGAAAGTTTTCAGGGTTTCGAAACTGTCATCCTTCCTCACTCTACCCAACCCCCACCATATTTTCTTCTCTTCAGAACCTTGCTTCTTTTACATTCCTTCTACAATATAATTTCTAGGCTTTTCAATACTGGCTCCTTACTCTGCTTATGTTCTATATGGTGGATATTTTCTTGAAATGTGTTACCTAAAATTGAATTCAGTAAATTGTTTGAATTGTTTTTGATGCCTCTAACTTCGAAGCACCAAAATGTTTGAAGTTTCTGGAGTAGGTTTCTGTGCAATATTAATATACTCACAAACAGAAGGAAGTAATAGAACAAGAATCCCCAAATATCTGTTGTTTCAGAATCAATATTTATTCAACTACTGTAAACTAATAATCTCTGAATCCAGTGCAGTTTGTAAAAATGTATACATGTATGGTTACACAAATATATACACTTGCCAAGTCATTGATCTGTACACATAAAATGTGTTTTAATGTATGTAAATTATACCTCAATAAAGCTGATTTTAAAAAACAAACTACACATGTACAAAGTTCTTACTTGATACAAACACATTTCTTTTCTTCTGGGTTAGGCACATAAAAGAAAAATTAAAGATTTGTGACCATTTGATAGTTACATGTTTGATCATATTATGTATGCAGCTCATAACCTCTAATCTAAGGGAGATTTGTGCAGGAAAACTCTGGCTGTAGCCATAGCTCTATACAAATGTCCTATTTATAATAATCTTTATCAGTACATGAGACAGAATGCTAATAAGCAAAAGCTCAAAGGAGAACCCCTGATTATTATTCCCAGGGTGACTAAGTTCTCATGACCACATGGTCAAGGATTCACAGAAGCTGTATTTAAGCACAGAAGGACCTGGGAACATAACCAGAGTGACCACATCCTTTCATTATTATCACATGGACGTGATAGCATCTAGGCAAATTAACCATGTATTTAAGGAATACTTTCTATGTACATAGCACTGTGCTAAACTCAATGAAGAATAGGAAAAAACATTTGAAAAAACCTACAAGATAGTAGTAATGGTTGCACAACATTGTGAAGGTGCTTATTGCTACTAAATTGTACACTTCAAAATGGTTAAAAAGGGAAATTTATGTTATATTTATTTTACCACTACAAAAAAAACTTACAAAGCCATTGACAGATCAAGGGTATGGTCCAATAAATGTTAATAAATTAATATCTACTAGGCATCCTGCTCTATTTTTCTGCAGACTTTGTTGTTCAAGTGCCCTCTTTTCTTCCTGTAACTTTGTAACTAGCTCTATTTCTAGTCATGGAGAATTTAAAGAACCCTGGGCCAATAGTTCAGTAACAACTCACCCTTGCTGCTAGTCAGTTTTGACTTCTACCTTTTGCCTTATTCCTATGGTTTTTGTAATACAGTTTTATTCTGGAAGCATAAAAACCGGTTGCAATGAATCAGATCAGATTCCTTCATTTGTTACCTTTGTGACCTTCAGGGTGTTATTTGACAACAGTGACCTTTATAACATTGATGGGGAGGACTAAGTGAGATAATGTGTGTTATTAAGTACTTTCTATTCTCTTCCCTTCCGCTGACCCCAACTGCATTCCCCCTTTTGTCCCTCCTTTATTTTGATTCCTTCTTTGGCTCCTTGCAAAAATTTTGCTTTTTCCACCACTGTTATCCTTCAGCATTTTAGTACTGGAATTCCTTCAGTTCTAAATCCTCTGATGAATCCTCTGATATCAACGTCCTACTTATTTACTCTGCTTATTGCCTACTTGAGGCCAGTATAATCATTTATTTTGCCAGTATGTCATAGTATTTGTAAGTTTGTTTGTGGGTCTTTTTGTTTATATGATTGCATATGATTAAGGAGTGTATAGAATATACCATAGGATTTTAGAACCAGAATAGCTCAATGTGAACTGGATTGGTCAAGATCTAAGATTAGAACTTGGCTTTGAAGGCTGGCTAGAATTTAGAGAGGAATAAATGGAAGTACATAGAGTTTTGGTATTACCCTCTTAATAAACTCATAGCTTTCCAAGAACCTTAAACTTTACAACTACTGTCAGAACTCTCTAAGGAAGACCATTGCTAATGATATAAATGGATTTGGGGATTAATTTGTTGAACGTATTACTGTTGCTTGACATGGAGGATGCTAGGCCTACAAGTGTCCCCAGCAGGCATTCAAGGACAAAACAATTCATTGGTTTTGAATTTATATTCCCAAATTGCATTCTGCTTGACAAGTATAATAAACCACAGTTTATACAGAAACTTAGGAACTCCTATAGCTGTTCATCAAGATTTGTTATTTTCAGGCCAATAGGGGGACTTAATTCAGTGTTCCTTAAAATGAAATCCATAGACATATTTTTAAAGTCATTTGAGATTTTTTTTTTTTTCTGTAAAAGGGGGTCTATATATTACTCTAGCTTGAGAAACACTGCAGTGTAATGAGCAAAACATTTATATATAGTTCAGCTCATTGTTAAAGGAATACTGAGAACATATATGGGGTGCCACGGGTGCCAAACTATAAAATGTCAGTCATGGAATTTGAAGATTGTCAAATGTAGGAGGCCTAGGCAGATGAAAATAAACATGAGCAAATCAGAAGCAAAAACCTCAGGGGACATTGGTAGATAGAGGTGAGAACCACCATTAATGTCTGGAACTAGATTTCACAGGCTGGGTCAGGGTTGTATATGTATCTTTTGGTCCCACAAAAAGAGCCAAGGACATAGTGAACAGGTAGTGACACCATTCAGCTCTGCATGGAGTCTAGTTTGGCATTCTACTGATGATGATTGACAACTTTGTGACAACAGTTTGCTGCCTAACTGAAACCTTTGTGGGGGTCGTTGAGTCCTCCTTACTCAAGAAGCAGAATTTGAAGTCGCAAACCAAGCAAAACATGGACAAGAGAAAGGCAGATACGCACAATCGAAGGGTGCCTATTGATTCCAGGATAGGGGCTGTCTGCCCTCTGCCTCCTTCCTACACCCCAGCCCCATATTTTAGCATGCTTTCTGATGGCATGAATAAATACTTATAAATGTGGGCTAATCCCTAAGGTGGGATGAGCCTCATCAAATGCTGGTGATTGCAATAATGAGGAACTTTGTAGTTCAAATAATCGGTGATCTCAGGATTGGTTTTTTCTTGTGGTTGCGTCTTCAGTTATTCAAAATTATTTTGATGAAAAAATATTTAAATAATTTTTAAATTTTGCTTTAATTTTAAAAAAGTCATAGAAGTACAATATCCAACCCCCCTCCTTTTTTTTAAATATATCAGCAACTGCATCTGCAATATCCAACCCTTTTTTAAGGAAGGAATATTAAAAAGTATTTCCCTGAGGCTTTACTATCACACTTGGGGTACAGAAATGGCAATAATCCTGGCAGGCTCCTCCCTTTTGCTGGAATTATTTTAGGGCTGAAGGAAGGAAAACACATTGACTATTTTTCCTCTACTCTTCAACTCATCAACATATAACAGCTGATGATAAAGTTTTAAGCCTGTGATTTATCTGCTGGCATAGACTTTTCCAGGCAAGAATGGAAAGTGTTGGGGGTGTCCTAAATAGAAACAATGATAGGGTGTCAGAAATCTAGACAAGTTGTTTATTATTAGTGCTGGTACTTTTTCTTCTGTGAGTCAGAAAAAGAAAGCCGACTTAAATAAGTTTTGCTATTAAGGAAAATAAAAATTGAATGAATGCTAAAAGATATCTAATGTTTTAGTGCCATAGAATTTTCAAGCATCAAAATAAATAGTTAAATCTATTTTTTGATAGAAAGATGAGAGTTAACACTTCCTTAGGGAAATCAGGATGAGTTTTTCTATTTTTCCCCTCACACTTTCCAAAAACATTTTATCTCCACTTCAACTCTATGAAGGTATAAGTTTCATCATTCTCACTTGATAAATGAGAATACTGATAGCTAGAGAGCTTGAGTAATTTGTCTAAGGGTACATAGTGGCATTAGCTGAGATTTGAACACAGATTATCTCACTAAGGGTGGTGCCCTTGATCTGAGCACATATAGTAGTGGTTCTCAAAGTGAGAATTGTGGACTGGCAGCATCAGCATCACCTGGGAGCTTATTATCTCAGGCTTCATCTCAGGCCTACTGGATCAGAAACTCCAGGCACGGGGCCCAGCAATCTGTGTTTTAAGAAGACTAAGAACCATTGTTAAACTTGTCTCTGACAGAGACATTCAAAGGAAAACCAATAAGGAACTTCCTTAGAGATTGTGTTAGAGATGTCAAGATAGTGGTGGAGAATACTGGAATGAAGGGGTACCACGACTGTGAAGAAAGATATTTTATGTATGAGAAGGGAAGGAATATCAGTAATGCTAAGAGGAAACAAACGTGGGAAAAAATAGCTGTGTTGTTTGGGCTTCATGTTTTCAAATGAAATGATGGTTGGAATTAGAAAAGTGTTATTTGTATCTGCGTCAATATAAATGAATAGGTCAGTTATATAAGGGCAATCAAATACTTCAGGATTAAAGTTGAATTATTTCACCCTCATTGTAGGTGGCATCTGTCTAGGATCAAAGAGAGATTCTTTTTTTTTCCTGCCCATTAAAAAAAAATAGTCTGTAAACAGTTTGTGATTGTTGATTATATGTTGGCTTATACATTTGTTGTTTATACATTTGCTAAATTTCATCATACTATTCCATTAAAAGCAGTACCTGTTATATGTAAATTCTATCTAAAGTTGATTTAAAAATAGGAATGTGTTCCTACAGCAAGTGATGAATTCGTGTCACTGGAGGTGTCTAAGCAGAGCTTCAGTAACCACTTGTCAGGAATGTTATAGTAGGACTTCACACATCAGAGAGGAGAACTGACCCGACCTCAACATTCCTTCCACCCAGAGATTCCATGAGTCACAGTTGCTGTTGTGCCAGCACAGGTGTTGCCGTTTTATGTAGGATGCTTTATTAATATATTTGATCTGAAGCATTTTAAACTGTCATGATTTTACAATGTATTCAGATACACAGGTGTAAAACACAGAACAGTGAATTCATTCACTGATCCCTACTGCATGTTACAAATGGAAAGAGCTCATAGTAGATCAAACCATATTCTAGTCTTGCTCCTGAAACATAACAATTTGTATTTATTGGACCAAGGGCATTTTACTCCTAAGGTAAATGTGCCTGATTTAAACTGAATCTTCAAAGAAGCTAAATTAGGGAGGTGTTTTGGGGGTTTGATTTTTTGTTTTTTTCCATCAAACCCAATATGACGTGTAAATGCTTATTTGGACTTTTTTTCTTGTACGTAGATTCATCTGGAGAATAATATGTTTGTATGTTTGAGTGAATTTTAGTGTGAGATGCTTTTTGCTGTAAAGTTGCCACCCTTTTATTACCTAATAATTAAGACCCCCCCCCTTTTTCTTATGAAAGTTAATTTGTCCTTTTGACATGGTTTATCAGATGCTATTAATGAACCATATTAAGACGGCAAGGCTGCAGTACCCGGGGACCTGATTACAGGAATTAAAATAGTGTGTGTTGGCTCCCTGCTGCTCCCCAGCAGGACCGCTCACTCATAATTCCTTTGCATCTAGTCTCAGCAGGAGAAGATTGACAGCATTGCAGACCATGTCAACAGTGCCGCTGTGAATGTTGAAGAGGGAACCAAAAACTTGGGGAAGGTAAGATTCTGCTCCTGCTGACAAATCAATGGTACTTTGGCTCCCAGGAATCTCTAGTATTAACCCAATTGATCTGCTCTCTTCAACGTTCAGGGAACCAGCAATTAAGGAAATAAGGAAGAAATGACACATAGGTAGTGCAAGAAATCAATGTTGTAATATTCTACTCTAACATTCCTTCTATCAGGAGAGTAATTTCTTCAAAGAGAGAATAAACAGTAGCTGTGCTATAAGGCATTTGGTGTTTCCAGGGAATATTTGCAGAGGGTGAAAGTGTAAGTATGTGACAGCACACATGGAGTGGGACCATCTATTTTCCATAGGATGTTGCTTTTAACCCCAGGCACACAGCACAGAATAATCTCTGTGCAACATAAAAGCTTTGGGGGGAATCTGTGCCTGCCAAAACAGTTTAAATAAGCCAGCTAGATAGTTAGTGAATTGATTGTTTTGCAAGTAAAATCAATTTCCTAGCTCAGTTCTCTAAGTTCTGAGATCTGGAGCAATTGTAGTACCTGTGGAATACTTTCTGTTTCCCCCTACAAGTTCAGTCTGTAAGGTTAATTATGTACCAAGAGTTAAAGAGGCATTGCCAGGAGTAATGAGAGGAAAACGTACATCACCACAGGCAGATATTCTCAACTCAGTTTCTAAATTGAATTTTTTTTTTTTTACAGGCTGCAAAATACAAGCTGGCAGCTCTGCCTGTGGCAGGTGCACTCATCGGAGGAATGGTAGGGGGTCCTATTGGCCTCCTTGCAGGCTTCAAAGTGGCAGGAATTGCAGCTGCACTTGGTGGTGGGGTGTTGGGCTTCACAGGTGGAAAATTGATACAAAGAAAGAAACAGAAAATGATGGAGAAGCTCACTTCCAGCTGTCCAGATCTTCCCAGCCAAACTGACAAAAAATGCAGTTAAAAACCAAACTTCAATATTATTGGTGCCAACATGTCTCTCCTAATGAGGACCTTTGCTGCTGTTGGACACTCCATCACCGTTTGGAACACAAGTATATCAAGATAGTGGCTACTGATGTTCAAGTGGGATTGAAGTGTGATAAGCGGATATATTTTGTTGTTTGCTGGGGTGTTCATGGAGATGTTAGAGATTGAGGCCCTGGGCTGAGGGTGTATAATGTATATGTCAGGTAATGTTTGAAGACTGCCAAGGAGCAGATTTTCTCCCTGGAAATGTGAAAACTGAACCTATAACTCTGATAAGGACTTGAGATGTGTAGAAAGGTTGGGTTATGGAAGACTAGTTTCTTCCATAACCCTGAATTGGAGCCCTTAAGGCTAAGTGTAGATTACCGAGGTTTGTTAGAGAGAAAAGAGTAAGAGTTCAGGAGCCTTTGTTATCAGATGGGGAAATAAGGGCCTAGTGAGGATTACAGGTGAACTACATAGTGGAGTCAATTGGCGAACCCTATTGCAGTTTGGTCCAACTATGTTTTCTGGTGAAGGAAATTAATGATGTAAGAAAATGAAAGTGGCTCAACTTCTCTTCCAGATATCTTCATTTGTGACACTGGCTTCTGAACTCTTCCTCTGCCTCTCTTTAAATAAATAACACAGAATTTCAAGTGGTAGGAGACTTATGAAGCCAGTCATCAAGCTCGCTCTGTCAGCCTGTCTCCTAACACCTTAAAGATCTTGTGCCCTGTGCCATCCCTCCCTTGTCATTATGAAGTTCTTTGGTTTCTGGGGTGAATTCTACCCATGTATAATGAGGAATTCTCTCATAACACTTTTTGTCTTGTCTCTCATCTCTGTTCATCCCTTCCTATAACCTCTAGATAAAAAGAAAAGAAAAAAATTTCCAGATATTTTCAACATTGTTAGAGTTTGGGCTAAAATGAGCAAGGAGAAAAAAACACCAAGAACATTTCCTGGCATGTTCCAATTGTAAGGGCTGATGTATCTGCCAGATAGGGGGTCTCTGACTCAGTCTTCTTTTTAGCTGGTCTCTGGGGGGAGCTGAGAATTTACTTGCTACCTCACTTGTGTTACTACCATCCTTTTCCCCAGACATTTTATCTCCTATGCATTCCTTTGCTTTTTATAGCTGCTCTTTCTTCCCCAAAGTGGTGTTCCCATGCTTACTTTTATCACATTCTAGACAATGATAGACAAAGCCTCATGCAAGACTCAGACCCAGGGAAGGGTGTGGTGCTAATCTCAACACCTGACATTGACAGCAAGGATGGTTCAGACCAACCTTATGTCTATCTCAAACTGCAGAAAGACTTTAAATTTGGAAAAAAGAATTTAAGATTACAGGCAGCCTCCCTCTATACCCAACCTCATTTAAAATAGTAGGGAATCATCTTTTGCCTTAGTCTTTACTCTTTTCTGAGCACAGGAATGGGCACCTGCACCCCAGAAAGTGTGAGCTGTCTTTCTGACAGGAGCTAAGGATTATCAGGCCATTGGATGGTTTATCACTTCTTTCTGAGTTTACTTTTTTTTTTTTTGAGATGCAGTTTCGATATTGTTGCTCAGGCTGGAGTGAAATGGCATGATCTGAACTCACCACAACCTCCGCCTCCCAGGTTCAAGCAATTCTCCTGGCTCAGCCTCCAGAGCAGCTGGGATTACAGGCACCTGCCACCATGCCTGGCTAATATTTTGTATTTTTAGTAGAGATAGGGTTTCTCCATGTTGGTCAGGCTGGTCTCGAACTCCCGACCTCAGGTGATCCACCTGCCTCGGCCTTCCAAAGTGCTGGGATTACAGGAGTGAGCCACCGCTCCTGGCCTACTTTTAATAACTTATTGATTGCTGCCTTTCATGTCCCTGTCTAATCTAAAGAGACTTTCTCTTTCATACTTCTTGAATCTCACCAATAAATTCCAGTGAAACAGCACCATTTCTTAGTATCATTAAAAAACTAGAAAGTATGAAGTATTGCTCTCTGCTGCTATGTATCATTAACATAATAATACCAAGACGGAAATACTTTGAATAAGTGTCAGAGTCTGATCCAGTATCTGATATTGGACACCTGTGAGGCTGGGATAATTGCTTTTGAACTACACCTCTTCTCTAGTTTCTGGACCTTGCTCTGTCCCTTTAACACAGGATATTCAAACCTGAATGAGGATCAGAACTCACCCAGGCACTTAACTTAAAGCAAGATTCCTAAACTTCAGTTCCAGGGGTAATTCTGACATCACTAGTCCAGCATAGTCAGCTGAGATTATAAATATAAGAAACAGTTACATCAAGATTCAGCTGTGTCATTTAATTCTGAAATTGCCAGTATTCTACCCTTCTTCATCACTGCATATGACCCCACTCCTCCAACCCCAAATTGTCTATCCTTTCAGCCCACCAACTTAGCAGCAGCACTAGGGATTCATTATGAGGTCAGTCTGGTTTACACAAGGACCTGAAGGAGAAAGGAAGCCTGTATTTGAAGCTCTCACTTTGTGTTGGTATCTCTCATTTTTACTGAGCCAATGTGGAACACCACTGTTTGTATTTGTATAAGCCCTTGACTTTTACTGCTCATCACGATTGGAATATTACTCTAGTGGTCTTCACACATAGCCAAGTTATAGTCCTTTTAAAAAGTATCTCATTTCCCCATAATGGAACCTAATAGCCAACTTTTTCATAGAAATTGGTAGAAGAATTTGATCAACTATAAACAATAAAGTGTTTATAAGTAGTAGTTAGTACGATGCAGAAACCAATCTTAAAATTGAATTCAATGTTTTATCATATCCAATTAAATATCTTCTCCAATTCATGTGTAATTTTTACTACAACAAGTTAGAAAATAGGGAACTCTTTGATTAAGGTCTTATTTTGTGGGCCTTCATTTGGATAAAGGCAGCAATCCTAAGGCCTTTTTCCCATAATCTGAGAATTTCTCTGTAGAGCAGAGACTTTTAAGCCATTTGGCTGTAACCCACGGTAAAAAAAAATGCATTTATATCAAACCTTAGCATATGCTTAACAAACAATACTTACCCTTCTGAGGTTTTTTTATTGTTTCAGTTTTCAAAATATGCCAGTCGCAACCCACTAAATTGATTTAATAATCTGCCAATGGGTTGTAATCCTTAGCTTGAAAAAAAACAGGCTCACAAAAGAACTGATATTTCTTGAATACCTTCTGTTCACCAGACATTTTACGAGTAAGGAAACTGGCCTCAGAGAAATAATTTGCAGAGGTTTACTCATCTACAAAGGTGTGAAGCCAGGAATGTTAACTAGGTCTGTTGAGCTACAAAAACGGTTTTATGTCTCTCATACTATACTGCCCCTCTACAAAATTGAGATGGGGTTGGGTGCAGTGGTTCATGCCTGCAACCCCAGCACTTTGGGAAGCTGAGGCCAGAGGATCACTTGAGCCCAGGAGTCTGAGACCAGCCTGGGCAACATAGTGAGACTGTGTCTACAAAAAAAAAAAATTAAAAATTAGCTAGGTGTGGCATAGCACACACCTGTAGTCCCAGCTACATTGGAAGCTGAGGTGGGAGAATCACTTGAGCCCAAAAAAGGTGGGCCATCCATTCTGCTTTATTACTTTATTACTTTTTTTTTTTTTTTTTTTGCCAAACAAGCTTTGAAATAACACATTCCATTCATTTGCATCTTTTAAAAAAAAACTTCTGATTCCTCACCAAGTGTCCAGCAGCCTCAAAAGTTTTTAATGATAGCTGTTGCAGACGTACATAGTGCTCAATTTGGCCCTTAAACTATAAAATCAAGAATATTTCAGTCCCACCTACCTGCCTACAAGTTTTCTTAAAGTTCACTGGTTATAAAAAGCACCATTGTTTAAACAGTTCTTTTTATGTAATTTAAAAATAAACTTGAATGCTTTTAAAACAGTTTATTATAACTCATAGATTAAATGATTATTATCCTTTAAAATGATACCCTTGGGAAATCAGATACTTACTGTAGTGACGCTAATACTAATGTTACTTAGACTAATTTTGAAACTATTTTTTCAGAATTGCCTCTAAAGACATTTTGCAAACCATCCCAGAAAAGGTGGTATGATGGTGCTTTGTAGAACTGGCCAGAGTTCCTGGAGGATTTTGAGGTTATACTGAAACAGAGTGCTGTACAGGGAGAATTCCATAAGTCCAAAAAACCTCCTTCTGTGGGCTGCCTGCCTGCCTGCCTTCCCTCCCTTAAGTGCTCTAAGTTGTTTGTACAGGAATAAGAACCAAATACTGGTAACATTGATCACAAGAAGATGAGGAAACCTATAAGTATATAATGTAGATATTTTCCTTCCATTAAAGTAGAGAAACCAAACCATGCTTTTTGTTAACCTTACATATGAAAGGTGTTTCTCAGGGTCCCCTTTGTCCTTTACTTCTGCCATATGAAATCTTACAAGGAAGGATGAAGGAAAGCCTGGGGAAAAAAGTTCTCCTGGGAAATGAGGTGTTTTCTTGTTATAAAGTAGAAAGTGTCTGTGGTTCACAGGTACTTATGAATGTTAGATAATATTCTTAAGTAATCAGAAGCCTAGTAAAAGGTAGGGGAGTTGTTTTTCCTCCAGCCTAAATTAATATTAAAAGTTTGGGGGTATTTTTTGTTTTTAAATTAACACCTTATTGTTTTTAACAAGTGGTTCTCACAATTTACATTCATTAATTTGATGCCCTTTTACAAAGAAACATCTTAGGTATTATAAACAATGTAAAGGACCCACATGGTATGTATCCACATTGCTACTCTCAAGTAGAAATGGTAGTTAAGAAATACATCTGTGCAATATTCAATTGAAAAACCATAAAAGCTGTCAAAGGCAAATGATTTGCTCCAGATCACAAAACTAGTTAGCACAAAAGCTAAGACTATAACCAGGATCTAAGAAAAAAATCCTGAAGGTAATATAAGTGAGTGTTATACCGTATCAAGTTACCTGCTAAGGCTTGTAATCTTTCAGACTAGCTTTAACATTCCAAATCAGGCAGTAGCTACAATGAAAAGAGAATTGGTTGGGAAATCCTGAGATCAGAGTTCTGCTTTGGCTTTGACTCTTATAGCAAGATTTTTTTTGAATCAGGGGCAGCTATCTCCTCCCATCCCAGTCATGAATCTTCCAACCTTAGTGGTCACCAGCTTGACTCCATTCCTTATATCTAGCCTGGTGCTGTCAATTCTCCATTAAATGTTAGTTGCATCCATTTCTAAATACATATCCATCACTCTAGTAAAAGACTTTTACGTCACACCTTGCACTTGATCTTCCCCCAACATTAAGTGGCTCAGTTCCTCATATCACAAGAATTAACCACCAAGTCCATCTTTCACTTTTCTACTGAAAAATTTTCAGTGACTCCCATTGAATACCAAATAAAGTTCAAATCCTTTAGATTGGCATTCACAGCTTTCTATGTTCTGGCTCCAGCTTTATCTCTTCAAACTCACTACTCACCATCTGACAATGCCACTAAAAATCCACAAGAGTGATTTTAAGGTTTATATATGGTGAAGGATCAAACTGGTAGTAAACCAGGTTTACATTTTTCTGGTCTAAAATTATTTCTATATTACTTCACTTTATTATAGTCAGCTGGGATTTATTTAAGCTCCTGGGCAAGCCTAAAACTTGTATCCTGAAGAAAATATTTTTTTCCACCAGAAGAAATTGCATTCAATTTCTTAACCTTCAAAACAATGTCAGTCTTGTCACCTGTGCATTTGGTGGCCAAAGCGCAAGTATTCTTCAGGAGCATAAATACTCCAGCCTTGAATGGACTACTGTCCAGCTCCTGTGAAAAACTTAGTATTTGAGAAAGATATTCAACAGTATGTGTTTTCTATATACTTCACAAGTAGTTGAGATTTTCTTGTATTAAGGTTAATCACTAAAAAGATGTTTACTTGGGTTTCATTAACCCTCCTTTAGATGTTTTACATTCTATTGTTAAACACTTGGTGTTAGCAAGGGTCAGCACAAGAAAAGGCTCAATGGCAAGAATTTCTGCAAATTCTGTAAAGCTTACTGAATTCATTTGTCATTTATTATGTTGCTGAGTGGTGCTTGAATAAGGAAACATGCAATAAATTTACTCACTCAACAAACATTTAACTGAATACCTGTTGTGTGTTGAGTGCTAGGGCCATACATAGAAAAATGCTAGACCTATAGAATCTACCCTTGTAAACCATTCAAATACCTAAAGCAAGTAAATCACAGTAAAACATGGTAAGTGCCCTAAGAGAGGAATGAACAAAGTAATAAGAGGGCACACAGAATGGAGGACAAACTCGGCTTGGAAAAGAAGGGGCAGGCTTTGTGGAACATGTAGTATTTGAGCAGTACCTAAAGAAGAATATGCCCGATTGAAGATGGAGTTATGGACAAAGGGCTCAAAACATAACATGGTGGGCTTACAGAAAACTAAGAAATTAAACACACCTGAGTGATGAAGCTGGTTGGATGGAAATACAAACCAGGGTGTTACCTATTTAAAATTTAATAATTCTTTGTTCATAGGAATTGATGTACTGCTTTCTGTCAGATAAGACTGTTATTCCTCCGAGTTCTTCATTTTGCCTTCTTGCCAGGGAAGTTAGTATTAAACCTCACATTTGGTGGAGTTCTTGGTATATTTGCCTTCCTTTCCCAAATACTGTGCTTTCTTCCCTCTCTGCTTATGAGATCCTCTGCTTAACACTGAATGCCCTCTTTGTTCCTGTCCTAATAGTCATTCTGTATTTATTGAAAACCCTCTGAGAAAAGTCATGAAATTTACTTCTTAGTGTCAAAGTCCTTCACAATCATTTTCCATCTCTACATGAATATTTCTTGACCACTGAAATTCAGTGGCTCCCATTTTCACTTATGGTTAATTCTGCAATGTTCTCCAACTTCAGAGAGGTAAAATTCTTTCACTGGTGATGGTGTGATCTCCCCAACTAGAATGTAAGCTGCTTTCAGGGCAGGGATCATATCATCTTCTTTGAGTACTTCTTGCCATGAAATACAGTGATGAGAAGGAAAAAAGAAACTACATTCCTGTTAATGACTGTTAGATGATGAGTGATGAGGTAATAACATGTGAGTTCTATCTTTTGGAGACATGTATTGAAATATGAAATCGCTTTCTAAGACATATCAAATCCTTGCTTAGTACCCACTTTTGTATATTAACAGGAATGAATGATGCAACAGAAGAAATCTAGACAACTCTAGGACTTGGAAATCATGAATTTAAATTTTCATAATTTGAAGGTGAAGATATTTCTATCTCTTTTTCCAATTAAAAGTCATGACTTGAAAGAGGATATAGGACCTGAATCACTGAAGAAATGCTGTGAGAAAATTTGGACTGATTTATCTTCCATCCTACCACAGGATTGCGAGGTCGGAATAGCAAGAATCCAAGAAGCATTGATAGTCTGACAGACTAGTATTGAAACAGGGTGCAGCAACAGGAATTTAATGGCTGTATCAAGCAAGCAGATATTGGCATTAGGCAAGGGCAGGACTGAAGAGATAAGCATTTGACAGGATTCGAACCTAGGTCTCTAATGTTAAGGTTCATATACTTATTACACCAAATAGCCTCTCAATGAGCTGTTAGGAATGAAAGGAAATCAAGTGGCATTTACTACTTCTCCATAATTCTCTGTCTTTCCTCTATAGGTTTTAATATTCATAACAGGTTGCTACTTAGCAGGGTACAATAGGGGTCAACAATTCAGGACATCCTTAACTCTTCCTCCTTCCTGCCTTGACACTTTGCTATCTCACAGAGTGGTTATGAGGATTAAAAGACAATTCTTGTCCAGTGCCTAGAATAGTGCCTGGCTTCTAGTAACTGCAAATGTTAGTTGCTGTTAGTTAGAATTGTTATTTTTTCCCAAAGTTTAAAGGAAATGAACATTAATTTTAAAAAGGTATGTACCTACAAGAATAGTGTTAGGGAGGCACCTAAAATGAGTGGAGACTTGAATACTAAGAATCCTTAAAATGATTTTTTTTAAAAAAGGCTTTATTAAGAATGATATCCAAACATGAAAATATGTAAGATCCAGTTAGAAGCAGGGTGGTCATACATCCCAGTTTGTCTAGGATAGTCCCAATTTACATCTGTTGTCCTGGTGAAACTATTACTAATGCTCCCTTTTCATCTCAGTGTCCTGGTTTGGATGAAAAAAATTACAATGGTCACCCTAGTTATAAGGGCAATGAAAGTAAGTGTGGCGTTACCAAAAACAAAGAGCATCTGTGTTTTAAAAGGATTGATCATTTCTAGGCCCAGATAAAAAACAAAATCCCGGGCCGGGCACGGTGGCTCAAGCCTGTAATCCCAGCACTTTGGGAGGCCGAGGCGGGTGGATCACGAGGTCAAGAGATGGAGAGCATCCTGGTCAACATGGTGAAACCCCGTCTCTACTAAAAATACAAAAAATTAGCTGGGCATGGTGGCGCGTGCCTGTAATCCCAGCTACTCAGGAGGCTGAGGCAGGAGAATTGCCTGAACCCAGGAGGCGGAGGTTGCGGTGAGCCGAGATTGCGCCATTGCACTCCAGCCTGGGTAACAAGAGCGAAACTTCGTCTCAAAAAAAAAAACAAAAAAAAAAAAAACAAAATTCCAATGTTAGTGGGAACATAAACATGCAAGTTAAAGCGCTACCAGTAATTGCAAGGAACAAGAAAATAGGAAATGTTCTAGAACACTGAGCTTGGGCAAAACGCTACATTTAAGGCGTAAAAGCTGGATTCCAGAAGCCACAGACCAGGAAATTTACGTTTGAATCCTGGAAAATTTCTGAAATGGACAGCTAATATTTTAAATCAAAAAGCCATGCTCATTCTGGACTCAGAATTGATAACCTGTTCTATTTCCTTGCTGTGTGCACAGCGAGGAATCCCATGTTCTAGTCCCCTTCCTGGGCAGTAGTTAGGGCAAGAAAACAAGGCATCAGTATTCTAAGAGTAAGCTAATCCTATCTAGGCCAGTTTACACAGGGCACCAAGGCAGTGGGAAAGCAGTTTCTTCCCTGGTAGTCATGCCAATAAGTAAAACACATGGGATATGCTATTATTACCTGAGAGGACCAGAGTTGTGAGAAAAATCACAGGTCGGCAATACCTAACAATACTTTTATTACAGTAAGATAGAATAATATTGACAGCCTCTATTAATCCTCGTAGAGAAGAGCCTGATGTGCTTAGGAAAGTATAGCTCTTTCTGAGCAAGAAAGCACTTCTTTTAGGAAGGCTCCCCTAATTCCCAAGACTGTGCACACCTCCATGTTCTCTGTGACTAACTCACATCCTAGCACCTACAACATTTCATTATAATCACCTTTTTACACATCTGTTTTGCTCCTTCACTCAACTTTGAGCTCCTTGATGGTAGGTGCCGTCTCCTGTTAGATCAGTGGACTGGAAACAATAGATAATGCTTGCCGAATGGTAAATGGTATTTGTAAACCATAACAGGGTTATTTTGTCAAGTCTGTTGCTCCATGAGGCTAAGCTAGGGGTCAGGTTCACCTCATAGCAAATGTGTGGAGTGCAGAAATTTTCCAGCACCTCTGCAGCACTCTGCATTACCCAAGAGGGTATTTAAGTGTCATTCTGAGAGTTATGTATCACTGGATTGGTGTGCACTGTTAAGATTTTAATCTATTCTAGACAGAAAATCTTAGGACCCCAAAGCCAGATTTAGATATAGGATTAAAGGTGACTAGATTCACCTAAAAACGTTTGTGATGGACAGAATCATCAGATAATTGAGATTTGCAGATTAACCAGTAGAACTCTTTCCACTTGTGGTGATGTTTTCTTGTTCTTTAATCATTTGCTCACATATTTATTATTTAATTTGGCTTTTTCACCATCAGAGATTTCCCGAGTACCTTCAGTGTCACAAGTGCTGGGATTACAAAGATAGACGAGTTCTTTTAGGGTATTCACATGTAGTGATAAGGAAGAGAGATACATGTATTTGTAACTCTGAATTAGACCGGGTACTCTAAAATCCACACAGGACTGCGGGACCACAGGGAGCAACAAGCATTATTAGGCATTGAAGGATGAATAGGAGGAATTTACTAAGCAAGGTGGGGGAAGGGGTATTTTAGAGAAGCAATCTGTAAGCTGCACTTTTTCTCCTCTGGTGACTCTAAAACCTATTGTTTAAGGGCAGGCCAGCCATTCCCTAACGCGTTCTTCAAGAGGGAACTTTGATGCTTGCTTCAACAAAAGGCTGGGTTTGAGTGATCACATGGATTCATACAGCTTTCCATTCTGATTTGGTACAATTAAATTAGCTAGGAAATAACTTTAAACTGAAAAAGCCAGCAACTTTGGTCATCTATATTCTGAGTAAAGTGTTTACAATATGATGTTATTTGTAACAGTAAATTAGTAAAAAGTCTCAAATATAGAAATTTTTATAAATATAATTTTATTACTTGGAAATACATACAAAAATTCAAACACAGCTAAAAAACAGTTGCTAAGCAGAGGTCCTATCCAACCTGCTTAATGAACACATAAACAGTTATTATCAGCATAAAACTTGAGTCCTGAAACAACTGTCTTCAGGGTCGTTAAATAATGGGTTTAAAAACAGGTAACTGTTTTGTTCTTTACACCTATTTAAATCTTTCCCCCAAATAGAGTACTAACATTTGTTTGGTTCATGAGGTTTTACTTTAGAAAAATAGCTAAAGCTATAGCTAATTATTTTGAAACCTGCAATACGTTTGCCCGTTTTCAGTCTTCTGTCACCTTTCTCCATGGTTTCTCAAAAATTCCCAATAGTTGTTAACAGAAAGCATTTGCAACCTCCAGCAGCTCTCTAGAATACAGAAGTGTGGGTCTAACAGCCTTGAAATCATTTAAGGTGGCAAGATTTTTTTTTTGCTTTTCATTTTTGCAATTTCCTGTCATTTTATTTTGGTCCAGTGATATCTTCTTGTAAGAGAAAAAAAACTGAGTTATTCTGCTCTTCCTGATTGTCAATCCGTTACAATACTTTATCCATTCTTTTTGCCCTTACTCAGGTTTTAAAAAGAAAAAAAAAGCCTTGACAACTTTAGCATTTTCTATAAATTTAAGCTTATTCTGAGCTTGAACATTTCAAATACTTTTATATTTCACTCTCCTCTCTGTAGTTTTGTCATGCCAGTTTTCCCCTCTTTTGCACATGATCTTTGGCAGCCTGGTTTTATCAGAGATGCTTTACATGCCCATTCTCTATCTTATTTCTCTAGGCTCTTTTAACTTACAAAAAAATAATTTTTAGAATGTCATTTAAAAGTTTTGATCCTTTTATGGTCCCCCTCACAATTTGCAAAACTGGAAAAGGTAGCTGGCTAAGAAGCAGAAAGGCCTCCTTTTGGTTTTGGGACTCAACTGTGTTCTTCAGTCTAGTCTTGCATCCCGTCTTCCTAGCTGAGGAGCCTGAGGCCCCCAAGTAGACTGGATAAACCAGGGAAGACTTCTACCTGTAGTGGTCTCTGGTTCATGGTTCAGAGGGGAACAAGCCTAAATTTGAGACTTGCTTCCACAGTATTCTTTCTGAAACTTAAAAGTGAACATACTTCCCTGCTTGCAGTCTGTTGATGGATCTCTGCTGCCTACAATATATGGTACAAACCCCTTAGTCTGGCACACAGGACCTGTGTGACCAGCTCCCATTTCTTTCCCTAGCTTCCTTTATCATTTCCTCCCAACCCCAAATGCCTTACTACAAGAACTTTTTTCTCTAATACGTTAGCCTGTTTCACACTTTTGCTCAGATTATTCCCTCAGCCAGATCCCTACCTCCTGAGAAAACCTATTCATCTTTTAAATGCTCAAAATATCCTCAAATCTCTGCTACTGAGTGCTCCCTTATGCCCTCATTAACCTTTACTTTCTTCTATCTTTACATCTATGTTAGTCATTGTTTACTAACAATGTCTATCCATCTGCCTGACGAGATTGTAAACAAGGGCAGAAAGTGTTTTATTCAGCGTCACATCTTTCATCATATACTACAACACCAAAAAAACTTGGACTGAATAAAGTCAGACTGAAATCTGCCTCCCTGTGACTTCCTCAAATCCTAGTTCAAGCCCTAGGATACAGATAGACAATGCCGGCCCTTGAAATATCTAAAGACTGTCCCAGTCCCAAGTCTTCTCCAAGCAAAACAGCCGTAACACCCATGTTTTAAAAACCTCTTTTTATCCAAGCTGCCCTTTCATGGAGTGCACTTGAGCTTAATGACTTTTTATAAAATTAGGCACCAAGTCGTAATGAGTGAGTGCTGAGTCCCTCGGGTAAAAAAGTAACCACGGGCCTGGCGCGGTGGCTCAAGCCTGTAATCCCAGCACTTTGGGAGGCCAAGGCGGGTGGATCACGAGGTCAAGATATCGAGACCATCCTGGTCAACATGGAGAAACCCCGTCTCTACTAAAGATACAAAAAATTAGCTGGGCACGGTGGTGCGTGCCTGTAATCCCAACTACTCAGGACTCTGAGGCAGGAGAATTGCCTGAACCCAGGAGGCGGAGGTTGCAGTGACCTGAGATCGCGCCATTGCACTCCAGCCTGGGTAACAAGAGCGAAACTCCGTCTCAAAAAAAAAAAAAAAAAAAGTAACCACGGTCACTTTGCTTCATTCATTAAACAAATGCCTGATGGTGACTACTAAGTGTCCAGAAATTCTAGGCACTAGTGATGTAGACATTACATTTAGTTTCCTTGTCCTCAATGGCTTTACAGTCCAGAGTTATGGTCTGGCAGGGCCAGAGCCTATTAGTGGCAGGGCTAGAGCCTAAGTCCAACATGTATGAATGCTAAATCATACTTCCTCAAATCGACTCCCTTAACAGCCACTCTATTATCTTAGAACATAATGAACATGTACTCCTTGAGGTCTTTTTTATAATAACTACTCCCAAGCCACCTCTCTGCAACCTAACTCTTGAATTTATCTTTTGTTGATTATTTTTTTCAAACCCAATTACAGGATTACAATATTATTCCAGTTGATTGCATGTGCTGCTTTTGGTCCTGTGTGCTATCTTCAATATTTGTGAATTTCCATGCTGACCCTCACAGATCTGGTCCATCATCTAACCTGAGGACCATAACTCTAACTTCATTCAACTGATTGGTTAAAAGCAATGAAGATAACAGAACTAAGGCCCAACTGCTAGAAAGCTCCATCCTACTTTCTTAGTCACAATCTGGTACAATATGCTAAATATATCCCTTATCACCTTATTAACATTTATTATTCTGAATAAAACTATGTAAACTATAAATCATGCATAACTAGGAATTATAAGCTGGTTTTTAAAAATAACAATCATTAAATATCCATTATAAATATTCATTTTATTTTAAAAGAACTGGAAGATGTTACATATATTACATACTACATATAATGGCACATGTCAGCCTTTTAAGCTTAAAAATCATCTCTCCCCAAACTGGGATTGATTTATACCCAAGTATGAAATGACCCTTGGCCTATAGCACCAACCCAGGACCAGAGGAAAAGCCAATTTTGATCCTGTCTGTCCTCTGGCATTGGGCTTCCTGATACGACACTGAGGGTCTCCTCCCTCTGGTTTTAGTCCCTGGCAGTATTAAGGCCTGGCACAGGGACCCATCTTACTGTATGCTGCAGGCCTGGGAAATCAAGGAATCTAGAGGGGGTAGGGTCCTCTAACCATTTTATAACAGAAAAAAAAGTAAATATGTATGTTCCTTGTTTTTGATTTCTACAACTATAACAAGACTCTACAAGAAAGAAGCAGGTTAGAATTACTGAAATACAATTTATCTGCTGGTTTTTCCCTTTGGAAATTGAAGTCTCATAATAGGAGGAGCCTTAAAAGTCATCTAGTTCTGACTGGTAACCTGTTCCACTGTCACCTCCCTTTCCCAGCTTTACATATAATTCATTCAAAGTTTTAAATGCCATCCATATGCCACATTTTTAGACAAACACAGAAGCTTAGTAATACTTTTCACTTTCTTTTTCTTGGTTCATAAGGACAATTCCTGCCAAATGTTCTGTCTTATAATTCTCCTCCGCTTCAAAGTATGTTTAAGTTACACATTAAGAATCCAAAAAATACCACTATGGAATTTTCATAAGTAATATCCAACCAATCAGCAAAACACAGTACACAGTGTGAAAATTTTAATTTATTCCCCTCCCAAGTATCCAGAATGTATATCCCTTTAACTTTGAGAAATGAGATACTAAAAATACCAACAGAATTGATCGTAAGAAAAGAAAGAAAAGCACATACGACACAGAAACATCCCTAAGTCCTCCCTACCCTAGTAGTGCAAGTTAATGGTCAGTTTCTGGCAATGTCACCTTTCACTTGATTTATTAAAATTTTACAGGACAGATTTAAAGTGGATATAGGCTTCTGATTTTTATTTTTTTAACACTAGCAGTTTTTTGTTTGTTTGTTTTTTAAAGAGGCTATATTAAATGACAATGCATTTTGAGTCGGGGAGAAAAAAATTAAAAACCCAAAACTTCTTTCAGTTTATTCAAAATAAAAATACACATAGAATTATGAAAATATAGGTTTACTATTTCCACCATGTAGGTTGATGCTGCTGTTGAAAGGCTTACAAACTGTTTTTCAAGTTTTTAAAGCTCATCTCGATCCCTCAATAGAGTATACCTATATTCACTGGGTGCTAGTTTCTGGAAGGAGCTCTCAGGTGGACTGCTTGCTACATCTTGGGCTTGCTACAAAAGAAAGAATAAAACATTTTTATACCAATATAGTTTATGGTGCAATAATATTTTAATAATAGTATTCAATGAATGGTAGTTCCCCAATTATTTGCTTCTTAATCAAAAAAAGATAGCAACCATGTGCCAAAACAAGAGATTTAAGTGTGAAATCTTGCTTTCCCCATTTCAAATGCTCTTCTTCAGATTCTCCAGGGCAGGGTTTGCCACAGGGCCATTAACTGTGGACTTGTTTACATTTACTGAGGTGTGGTGGAAGGAACCAAAATACTGACACCTGGGTGCTTTCCTAGACTAGTCTGCAGAGGCAGCAGAACCTTAGGTTGGCCCAAACCCTTTCCTATTGTGCATGCCTGCTAAGAGAATTAACAGCACCCACTCTAGATATTGGCTTAGTTATCAATTACCAGGATACCAGAAGTTATTACAGCTTAGTTGAAATAAAGAGGAAAGCAAACAGTTCAATACTGAAATAAGTTTCTGTAGTATTTTACTTGTGTACCAAAAGTAGACAAAAATACACAGTGAAACAAGCTACTTCCAAGAGTTTTAAAGAATAGCCAGTGCAGTATATCCTCTATTTCTAAATTGTGAGCTCAAGAGCAGGCCTGATTGTTCTCCTCATTTTAATATCCCCTGTAGTTAACATAGGCACACAGTGCATATATTACATACTATATGTAATGGCACATTAATTCTAACAGGAAGCAATGTGTCTACAAACTATCATGTTCCTTTCACAATACATTTTTAATTTTTTTAGTGAGATATATGTTTGGATTAATAAGGCTGAAATTAATTATATTACTATAAAAGAAACATTTATTTGGTACCCTCTGTTAGTACACAAAGATGAACAAATATAAGTTCACTGTCTAATGAGAAAATTGAAACCAATCAGGATAATACAATAATGGTAAATTACATCTTTTCCTAATCTAATAAAGTATTATGCAGGCCTTCTTTTCTGAGGAAAATAATCACCTTTGGGTTATACAGCCAACAAGTTTGACTCCTACAGTTTCTTAATTATAAAACATCTGATCTCATTTTTAAAGGAAAAAGCATGATGTTGGATTCCTATAGAGAACTCTTGCCTCTGAACCTAATCTGACTCTTAAATAAGGTAAACAAAAATTCACTCAGTTTTTATTTTCCTTTTATTAACAGAAGTTCTACAGGCAAAATAATGGATTTAAGTTCCAAGCTTATGAAATAGAGGGTTTTCCCTCTCGGTATCATGGTAATATGCATGATAGAAATCATAATGCATCAAAATGCAAATTTAGGGCTGTTTAGTACAGTAGGAACAGAAATTACTTGTAACAGAAGTTACAAGGTAGAAATAGTAAAATTCTCAGGTTAAAAAAAAAACCATAAAATTTTGATGAAACAGTTGTCAAGTATTCTAAATTACAAATGGGAAAGCTGCATTAAACTGGAAAGTTTTGAGCATTATGAACAGTGTATTTGTCAAGGCTCTTAGAATGATTTAGCAAGAATAACAAATCATTACTTTCTTTATAGTGTGGTCAATCTTCCAGCCACAGAGTAAGGCTTGGACAATTATTGGAATCCACTGATTTCTTCACTGATTTATCTGCTTTAGATTCGTATTTCCTATTCCCATTTAAAGCCAAATGTATTTTAACCCTGTTATAGCCATATTCCACAGAGGTCACATTCAGAACACTTTTATATGATCAAGAAACCACATTATAATATTCTTTCAACTTTTCTGAGGACCTAACATTTTAAAAATTAATTTGAAAGGATAATTTCTACTCAGAATTTCTTTACAAAAATATTCAGAAGCTCAAGCTCAAGCTGATGTGAGAACTTCGGACCCTCTTCAAGGCTAACTGAAAAAGGAAAAAAAAAAAAAGAGTTCCCATTGAAAAAGAAATAGGAGTCCTACCTCTCCTGGGGCTGTATCAGTTGGGTCAGGTCCATGATGGAATTCTCTGTGCAGTTTTCCAGAATGTAAGTCAAATACGAATTGTTTGAGTTTTCCAGGAATTCTGAAACCACAGTCAAATAAAATTTAAACTGTTAAAACAGCCTTACCTCTATTTTACTAACTTCACAGTATTAATTTTGCTAACCTATGATCCCACCATCCTACCACAACTACTGTACACCAGGTGTGTGTCAAACATTTTTACACGGTTGTAAGCATAGTATCCAGATACTCAGTTTTGTTTTCCAATTCCTGTACTTGTTTCATAGAAAATTTTCCATGCTTATCATTAAGGCACATTATAGTCTATCAAGATGCTGTACCCTAAGTTACCTAACCATTTTTTC